TTGCCTTGCAAAAGTTCAAAATCCTTAAAATCTCAACTTCTCATTTCAAGCCTTGTTTATGAAAAATTCAAATCCCAATTCTTCAATCCAAGCCCCTACCATGACAGGAGGTGATTTGGTAATGCAAATGTCCCTATTTGGAGCAAGTTTCATGTTGAAAAGATTTCCATTTGAAGTGTGCAAGTTGGTGAAATGGACCTATAATTTTATGACCTGTAATCTTACTTTCCCAAAATACCCCTGACTTATAAACCTCATAACTTGAGTTCTAGAAATCAGATGAAAGACTTCTAGTACAATTTGGGAAGTTAAGATTAAGACCTAGAACTTTCATGTTAGCCAAAAGTTATTGAGAAATACCCTTCTAGGTTAAAAATGGCTTGGAAGTTGGTTGTCTTTTGTTGACCAAAATCACATCCCTCTGATGACCTGTAACTTGTCTGGATCATAACTTGAGTTCTATAAATACAATCAAGGACTTCTAGTACTCAAATTAAAGCTAAGAACATGCTCTACAAGTTCTATGTTGGCAAAAAATTGATATGAGACTTGTATCTTGAGATAGGGGCTAACCCACACACATTCATCTATCCTTTCATAAGATAATGTCCACTTCAAGATGTCCTGATGACTAATCAAGCTTGAGTAACAACCCTTGCCTAGGTTCAATGCTCTGAGAAGAATTCTCTTGCTATGCACATCCTCTTGATCCCCTGTTCAATGAAAAATGATGTGCAATGCAAATGCTAGAACAAAATGAAATTAAATGAAACATAAACCAAGTTAAAAAAAAGGTTGAGCAAATTTTGGGGTGAAACATTATTAAAATAAAATGAGGCCCCTTAATTTGAAGATCCCGAACTAAATACTGTCTTCCCTTGCTCTGAATGCATTGTCATAAATAAAGATAAGAAAGAAATCACGAAGGGTTCAAAGTCTCTGATTACTGTTTGATGTGGATATTTCAACAAAGTGATTAAGTAAATATGTGTGTGATTATAGTAATCTTGTAGAAATAGTTAAAGTGAAAACTTAGGAGAACATGACAGTTATTCGACTTGTGGTGAATTAGGTTGGTTTTAGAGTAGTAGGAAAGTAAATTCAACCATATATTATTAGCAAGAAATATTTCAAATCTAACAATAGTAAAATAAGTATCAAGTTGATTATTTGTCCAGTCACCTTGTTTCCTTTAAAACCAAGGTCATTTAGCAACAACTACCGATTATGTCTCCAACATAAGAAATAATAGTATCATCAGAATGGTTTCCTTAAGATTTTTCATTAATATAAATTTTTCTCACGTGTTCCTAGAGAGAGAACCTTATCTAGAACTTATCGTGACCCTCCATTTCTTATCCTCTTCTAGGATTTGAAAATTTCTCCCAGATTTCTTTCTGGTTCTTCTATCGCCACTGTGCCCTTTCCTCTCCTTCCTTCTGAAGGTTTTTTCACACCACCTCTTTCGTCTTATACCTTTACTTTTCACGTCTGTTTTCATCAGTAGTAGGTTCTTCTGCCGTTCTGAGTGAGTTACCAGGATGGGAAGATGGAAGTTTTTTCTAATTTTCAAAAGAGGAAGAAGAAGGAGCCATAACAGAAGTTGCATAAGCTTTCTAAGAAGAGATTTTCCAACGCACTCTCGCAGGCGAGTTATAAACCGATAATAGCTTTAACTCGAAAGCGTTCATCAACATAATGACGGGTGCATGGAAGCTAAAGAATCCAATTGAAGTTTAGGAGCTAAATAACAACCTTTTTCTCTTTCCCTTTGCTACTAGGAGAGATCTGGAAGGTGTCCTCAAAAATGGTCCTTGGAGCTTTTACATGAATATTCTCATCTTGAGTCATATTTCTGGAGAAGAGCAGCCATCAGATCTAAATATGCATTATGGGTCATTCTGGGTTCGAGCTTACGAGCTTCTGTTGATGTTATGTTCATAAGCTATGGCAAAAAAGCTTGGAGGGATTCTAGAAGAATATGAAGAGATGGATATGAAAGAAGCACACATGAATGGAAGATTTCTCAGAGTTAAGGTGAAGCTTGATCTTAAAAAACCACTTAAAAGAGGTACTGCAGTGCGCTTCAAAGAGAAAAACTTGCGTGTCCATTTCAAATATGAGCAGCTTCCAACTTCCTACTTCGTTTGTGGGAGAATATGACACCAACTTAAAGATTACGAGGCTGTGGGAGATCTTAGAAAAGAAGGGTTTGAAGATCTAGATGAGCAGGATCTCTCCTTTGGGACTTGGTTGAGAGCTTCACCCTTGCCATGGGACCAAGATGATTTCAAATTGAAATAATCAACATTCAGTTCATGTAATAGGAGTCTATCTAATACATCATCAGGGAAAAGCAGGTATGAAGCAAAAGGAAAAGGAAAAGAAGGTGAAGAGGGAGAAGTGGAGAAAAAAGGAGAACATGTTCAAGAGATCCAAAGTTCAGAAGTGGTGGCACTGAAGCAACATAAACAACTACCTCCAGCTACAATGCAAAAAGGAAAAGCAGTCCTTGAAATCAAGGCCATGGCAGAATCCTTGGGTGCAGTGGTTATATCAAAGGTTGGAAATAGCCATAAAGCAAAGAAAGACGAAGGAAATTGGAAGAGAAGTAAGTGGACAAGATAATAAACAACAAGGAAACCAAAACCAGCAGTCCAAATAAGCTGAGGTGGAATGCGGTAAGAGGAATCTTATAGATGCGATGGTCCTTGATGGCACATTGGAATCTTGTGGTATGAGAGAGAAGTTGAGAGGCCAGGAAGCAAACCCAATTGAAAATGTTAAAGTACCAGAGGTGGAGTTGGAAACCCAACACCTCCTAGATCAATGAAGATATTAAGTTGGAACTGCAGGGGGTTGGGGAGTCCCCGTGCATTTCGAGCCTTGGTGAGGCTCATTCGGACGGAAAACCCTAATTTGGTGTTTGTAATGGAGAAGAGACTAAAACATGAGGAAACTCACAAGATTAAACTCAAAACAGGCTTTGATGGTTGTTTGGTGACCTGAATGACATCATGGCTGTTAAGGAGAAAAAAGGTTGAGCAGCCAGGTATCTAAGCCAATTATCCTGGGGTAGAATGTTTATGGAGACTAGTGGCCTCATTGATTTAGATTTTGAAGGTTATCCATATACTTGGTCGAATGGCAGAACTAGTGCTGAAAACATTCAATGTTGACTAGATAGAGCCCTTGCCTCAAATTGTTTTCTGAACAGATTCTTACCAGTTAAAGTTTGTCACTTGCCAAGATACGATTCAGACTACACAATTATCTGAATCACCCTGGAGGATGACATGGAAGAGAGAAAAAAGAGGAGGCAGTACATCTTTAGGTTTGAGGAAGCTTAAGTCAAAGATCCTAGATGTGCATATTACATTTCTCATCTATGGAACACCAGTCCTTCTCAAATTATCCATAAAATTAACAAACTGCAGGGATTGAGTGATTACTTCAAGGAATACATGATCAATTCAATCAATCAAGAGCTCAAGAGAGTTGATGATATGCTACAGGATGAGGGGAGATGGTCGTCTGATGAAGCCTCAATTAGAACCTACAGAGCTTTGGAAACTCAAAGAAATAGATTATTACATTTCGAAGAAGTGATTTAGAGACAAAAGAGCAGGGTTATTTGGCTGCAGCATGGAGAAAAAAATAAAAAATTCTTCCATAAGAAAGCTGAGCAGAGGAGGAAAATCAATATAGTCAAAAAGTTAAAAGACGAGGAAGGGCTTTGGTGGAGGTGTGAGGAGCATTGTGAAGAACTGCTTATAGGATACTTTGAAAAGCTCTTTACCTCTTCAAACCCTACAAACATTGAGGAGGTTTGCAATGTGATTCGGGGGAAGTTGAATGATAGACATATTAGTTGGTGCAACGAACCTTTTACAATACATGAAGTGAAGGAGGCCCTTGATCAAATGCATCCCTTTAAAGCTCCAAGACCAGATGGTTTGCCTGCCTTATTTATCAAAACTATTGGCACATAGCAGGAAGCGAGGTTGGTAAGCTTGTTCTTATATCTTGAATCAGGGCAAATGTCCTAGATTGATAAACTCCACACACATTTCCCTCATTCCCAAATGCAAGCACCCTATGACCCAAAAGATTTCAGGACAATAAGTCTTTGCAATGTGGTGGTGAAACTAGTGACCAAGTCGATTGCAAATCGTATTAAGATAATCCTCCCTGAGGTTATTGATGAAGAGCAAAGTGCTTTTGTTCAAGGACGCCTAATCACTGACAATGCACTGGTAGCTTTGGAATGTTTTCGTTGGTTAAAAAAGATGAACAAAGGAAAACAAGACTATATGGCTCTGAAGCTTGATATGTCAAAGGCATATGATCGACTCGAATGAAGTTTTGTGACAAAAGTTTTATCTCTGATGGGTTTTCTAACGCATATGGTGGAACTCATTGAGAGATGCATATCTACTGTTTCTTACAATGTTATCCTTAATGGGAAACAATGTCGTTATTTTGTTCCAGTACCGGAGACCCTCTCTCATCCTATCTTTTCATTCTCTGTGCAGATGTTCTATTAAGGCTCATCAAGAAGGAGGTGAAGGAAGGCATGATTCCTGGTCTAAGAGTAGCAAGAAATTCCCCATCAATTTCTCATTTATTTTTTGCAGATCACAGTCTCCTTTTTTCTCGTGCCAACATAAATGAGGCTTCAAGGGTGATGGAGATCCTTCATAAATACCAACTTTCTTCTGGCCAAGTGGTGAATTTGGATAAGTCAGCGACATCCTTTAGTCGAAATATGGATGAAAAAGCTAGCAACATGATCCGGACAAGGATGAGAGTTAAGACAATAGCTTGCCATGATAAATATCTAGGTTAGTTGTGGTTTTAGGAAGATCAAAGAAGGAGATCCTTACTCTGGTTGTGGAGAGGGTTTGGAAAAAATTAAGGGTTGGAGGGAGAAACTCCTCTCTTGAGCTGGAAAAGAAGTCCTAATAAAAGCTGTACCACAGGCTATTCCAAGCTATGTTATGAGCTGTTACAAGCTACTAGATGGAATTTATACTGAAATTGAAGGGATGACAGAATTTTTTTGGTGGGGATCGAGGAATGGAGAAAGGAAGATTCACTGGTTATGGTGGGATAGGATGGCTAGAACTAAGAAGGAAGGAGGAATGGGATTTCGAGGCATTAGAGAATTCAATATTAGTTTACTTGGGAAGCAGTACTAGAGGTTACTTAGTAATGAAGAATCTTTTGGTGGCAGGGTGCTTAAAGGCAGGTATTTCCCAAAATGTGACATTGATGATTGCTCTACAGGCAACAATTCAAGTTATGCTTGGAGGAGTATCGTGAGTGCCAGACAATTGGTCCACCAGGGTTCTAGATGGAGGATAGGGCATGGTTTGAAGGTGTCAGTGGCTAGTGATAGGTGGATCCTGGGAATTCTAACTTTAAGCTACCGCAACATAGTTTTACCATAGATCCTGAATGGAATGTTTGTGACTTAATTGATCCTGATACTAGTTAGTGGAAAGAAGACCTGATCTTCTCCACTTTTAGGAAGGCTGATACTTTGCAGATTGTTGGCATTCCCATATCTCAAAGAAATATTGATGATGTGCTTATTTGGCATTATGAATCAAAAGGAAATTACTTAGTAAGATATGCATATCAGTTGTGCCTGAAATACCGCATAAGTTCAAACCTTGGACCCTTTTTTGACCCAAACCAGATGTTACGGAAAATGATTTGGCAAATTCCTCTGCAGAACAAAATCAGAAACTTCATGTGGAGACTTGCTAGAAACATTATTCCGATACAAGATAAACTTAGGAAAAAAGGTATTACTCTTGATTCATCCTGTCACTTCTGCAATTCAAATGCTGAAACAGTGGACCATATTTTTCTGGATTGTGTTTTTGTTAAGCAAACTTTTTTCTCTTCCATCCTCAGCCTTAGAATTTTGTCTAATAATGGTATTTGTAGCTAGCTCGAGAAGTCTCTGACTTCTAAGGATTCCTTGGTTTGTCAACTCATTAGTGCTACCTTTTAAAAAATCTGGTTGATAAGAAATGCGATTGTTTTTCATGCTAGGACCTCTTCGTCTTCAAATGTGGCTGCAGAGGCTCTTGACATGGTGCAAGATTTTAACTTCTAGAAAGAGAATAAGAAGCGCAATTCCTCTCCCAACATTGTTGATTATGGCTCCAACAGAAACACTATCACTATTCAGCTTGATGCAGGAGTTTTTGAAGAAGGATTGTCAGCATTTGGTTGCTTAGTCAAGAGCCAAGAAAACAAAGTCCTCCTCTCAGCGTGCAAATCTGCAAAGAGGCTGCTAGACCCAACTGTTGCAGAATGTCTTGCTATTAGGTGGAGTATACAAATAGATTTGCACATCAATATTGAGAATTTCTTGATTCAATCAGATTCCTTGATTGCTGTTGATTGTATTAATTTGTGTAAGGAGTATACTAGTATTGAACCTATTGCAGAGGATTTTAGAACCCTCCTTAGAAACTGTTATGGTAGCTCTATTATGTATATTAGTAGAACCAAAAATCTCCTTGCTCATGGTCTTGTGAGAGTGGGGAAAGTTTTGGGTTCTAGGACTTGGCTAGGTGATTGCCCTTTGATTGATCATCAGGGCTCCTTTGTACCTCTTTCTGATGTTTAATACAAGCATCTTTTTCATAAAAAAAGTTTCTTCATTAATGTTAAGAATAATATCTAAATAACCAAACATGATCCGATTACTATAGGTATACGTTGAATCATAATTTTAATCAGATCACAAGTAAGGATCTTTTAGTGCGTTTTTCAATAATAAATATAGAATGCAATGTTACACCAACAAAACTAATTAGAATTAGACCATACAAAAATATCAATATAATTAGAATTAAAATCAACGTATTAAACTAAACATCAATATATATCAAAGAGCAGTTAATAGATATTTTTCAACTATCATATAAACGAACTTTATAAAATCTCAATAAAAAAAAAATTTGAATTTGTCTAAACAAATGAATATTCATCTGTTTTTCCTTGTCAACAAATTTAATTATAAAAAATAATGATATGGCAGGTGGATTTTTCCAAAATCGCCGATTTGATAGGAGAGATAAAATCTTAGTAACTACATGACATTTAATAGGTTATTGGTGAGTAAATTTTATAGGTCATGAATCAATCCAGATTCATAAACTTCACAAAGATACAAATAAAATCAATTACAATATATCACTTTCTAATCTAAATCAATCTCATTCAATTCAAATCCTAATTCTAATCTATAAAAAGGGTCTGCCTTAAGGAGGACAAATCAGAGGAGAAAACCTAAGAAACCACAACAACCACAATCTTCTACCACCCTTTCACCCAAAGCTCTATTTGAGAAAAAAAAGCCTTCAAAGTTTCACATTAAAGCTTAAAGGTCTTTGAGCTTAACCTCCATCACAACCATACCTCACGAAAAAAGGAGAAAGAAGTAAGAGGACCTCCATCACAACCATACCTCACGAAAAAAGGAGAAAGAAGTAAGAGGAAGCGTGAAGAAGAAGATATTAAAAGAAAGAGCTTTTACCTTTTTACTACTCATTGAGGACAATTTCCTTGGTTTTCCATTTTTTTCTTTGTTTATTGTTAATTTAGAAAAAGTCAAATCTTTTTTATTTTTTTAAATTTAGTCTGTTAAATGAAGTTTGGGTTACGAATATGAGTTTTTTTTTACTAACATGTATTAATTTAGAGGATTTCTTAAAGCACCCTATATGTTTCTTAGACACCATGCAAATTTTCTATAAAGCCCCTAGTTTTCGGAGATATATTTTTGGACGCACCATATTTTAACTAAACGTTAAGATATTTCGGAGATATATCTTCGGACACACCAAAGATCACTTGAACTTTGAAATATTCTGGAGATATATCTCCGGAACAAATTGGAACATATTGTCACGCCATACTCTTCTCCTCCCACACTTTTTCATTTCTGTTCACAAACCTTTTCACCTCTCTCATTTCCAAATTTCTCAAACTTCACCAAATTTAATTTCTTCAGTCTGAAGCTCAGGTAATCCTCAAGCTGCATCCAGTGCATCATTCAACATGTTCCAAATCATATAATCTGAGTAAGTTTTTTGAGTTTCTGATAAATATTTTAGTTTTATTGTAAATGAGTTAAAATCCATTGTTAGGTGTCGTAATGTTTAGAAATCAGATGAAACATAGTTTAGAGTAAATGCATGTATTGTTTGTTGGCTCAAATGGACAATCATGGCTTCAAATTTGTGATTTTGAGGGGCAAAGGATGCCATTGGCGCGACCTTTGAGTTGCAGAATGTTCTGGAGATACATCTCCGAAAACGTTCAACGTCTCAAGTACTCTAGGTGATTCCGGAGATACATCTGTGTAGTGTTTCCATAGTTGTATCTTTGAAATCACCTAGAGTACATGAGACGTGGAATGTTTCCGAAGATGTAACTCCAGAAAGTCTCAATCTATTTTTTTTGTTTTTCTTTGTCTTATTACGTAAACTCATTATACGGTTAATTATATTATACCTTGCAGGCATAATGGATGACAGAGCCGACCGATTGAGGCATGAACGAGTTGCCCATAATGCATCCGTTAGATGAGAGCGGAGCCAGCCGAGTCCGGATGCAGTAGGTACCTTTGGTCAGGGAAAGGCGTCGTTTGGTAGTGTACAATTTACTCTTGAGGCTCAGTTAACTTCTGTGGTTCAACTCACTGCACCTTCTTCATCTTCTTCCCACAGACCACATGATAAACCAGCTGACCTGTCACTTCCTCCATCCTCCCACAGGTGGCGGGATGCACCTGTGCCACCTCTTGTTGATCCGGTGCCACCTTATGTTGACCCAGTCTCCCCTTATGATCGGGATACATCGGTTCCACCTCTGGAGGGTGATGTTGCTGATTCCTAGCCAAAGGCTTTTGGAGGGGGTCCATTTGATATGTCCTTAATTTCTTTGTACCCAAACCACACTACCAGACATATTTGGAGCGAAGAGGTAACATTAATCACATTGTTACTATAATTTTTTTTACATTAATTTAAATTGTTGACATTGATTATTTCTAACATTGATTCTTGCCGACATTGATTATTTTTAGAAATTCACAGTTGCGTGATCCCCAAAAGTTTTTGAACCATGGGCATACCATTTTAGCATTGCATCAGCCTGATGTGAAGTGGTTTCAATTGGTTCTCACCACTTCTAGCTTGAGTGACCTATGCCTGACCAGTTACACTTTGGTCAACCACGGGATGTTTAATGCATTCGTGGAGCGATGACACTCTAAGACCTCATCCTTTCATTTCTCTCACGGTGAGATGTCGATTACACTAGACGATGTCTCGTATTTGTTGAATCTACCAATTAGAGGGAGATTCCTCCATCATGGTAGGATGATCAAAGACGAGACATTCGATTTGATGGTGGAGCATCTGGGGGCTGATCCAGTGAAGGTGCTGAGGAAGGTGGATAGGACCGATGATGCTCATGTTAGGTTTTCGTTCTTAAAGGAGATATTTTATGAGGCGCTCTTTGTTGCAGTGCAGGCTGATGGTGGTGCCTATGAGGTGGAGATCCATAGGAGTCATAGTTTGTGGTGTTAATTTCTATTTTTAGTTGGCACTGTGCTTTTTGTGGACACAAGTTCCACCTACACTAACGTTGCATACCTCTGGTACTTCTTAAATCTCACATAGATCCATGAGTACAACTAGGAGTTGGCTTGCCTTGCATATCTATTTTCAAAGCTGAGAGATAGATGGGTGGAGGACGAGGCAGACCACAGGCAGCACGACCCTTCTGGTGGTAATAATTTTTTATCCTTGATTGTTTTTTATCTTTTTCATTTCATAGTTGCAATGATTCTTGATCCCTGAATGCTTTTTTATTTTTATTTCAGGCTTGAATCCTCTAATACTTCTCGCGCATCGCTGGATGGTTGTGTTGGGATGAGTACATTGAGAAGACGCCCCGTGCCTGTGCTTTTATCCAACTGAGAGGGAACCATGCAGTTGAGCCTTTCAGAGTTTATCTTGATTGATTGATTGCTAAGGATACCCACTTTAACTGCCACGTGAATCACCGTCAGATGCGGCCATTTGATGATATATCGTCATACTCCGGATGGCTAGCCAGCTCGCCGACGGTCACTGCTCCTCACCTGCCTAAGCGTGTCATGCGGAAG